TTACTTATTCTTACTCAACACAGGGCTACGGACTGACAGCTTCACTGATAGTCTTCAATGACAGGTCAAAAAAACAACTAAGTCAGCACTGCAAAGTACTGTATCACCCTGGGATAAGAAGGCAAATGTCAGGCTCCTGTGCTTACATGTTTAACCTATTCTGCTTCAATGACTTCAGACACCTATCCCATTTCATGGACGTTCAAGCCATCAGCATTTCCACAGCCACTTCCAGCAAGCTGTGGTTATGTCTGTGTCCTTCTGCAAGACATGCCAAGAGGCCCCAGTAGAAGAGGAGGGAGTGAATCTGCACACAAGCTGTCGGTCAGACTAAAACTCATCAGTTCCAGGCAGAGCAGATACGACCAAAGCAGCTATGACTTATTTAGAAAGTAAAGCACAGTCAGCCTCAAGCTCTGACTGCATCCATCTCTGATCTCGGTTACTGATTGCATTCAGACATCGGACAATTATGTCACTGTTTTAAAGAGTATTTTTCCATCATAGCACTGATCACTGACAACCAATTCAGCAGTGCACCATAATGCAAGGCCACAGCTTTATCAAACTAAAAAAACTGCAACTCTGGACATGTCTTGGCATTCATTTTTGTTTCTTCACAGGTGTCCAGTTGGACAGATAGGTGCACCCTAAAATAACCCTGATTTGTAACAGCTGGAATTTCCTGGCGAAATTCTTCAGTCGTGAGTAACTTATACCACCCCAGGCTCTACGTCATTAATCTTCTTTTGTAAGCCTTTTAACAGCTTTAGCCCAACCACTAAACCTGCTTCAATGTGCAAATCATCTGTCTTCTTAATAAGACTACTGATTAGAAAAGGTAGTACCCTATAAATTAACAAAACTGTTTTTAAATAACTGTTGTCTTTCTGAAAACATACGTGCACTCCTATGATACAACACTAATCTCAAAATAGCTAACACACAGAATCAATACAGTAAAGCAGCATGTACTTTTATACAGCATGTAACCCTTATTAATCCATAAAGAGATTATGAGGTAGATGTAGGAAACACTTCTCTTCCCTCTCATGAACTGAAGTATTCAAACAGCCCCAGCCTAGAATATAATTTATTTAGTTGAATAATGAATTCATATTTTTAGCTGATCTGAACAAATTTGAAGGTTTTGAATATCCTTTGAACACTAGTGTCAACTTTCAAAAAAATTATTCCATTACTCTGACTATACAAATAGTACTAGAATATTTTCCCCAAATTATTGAGGTAAAAAGATACTTGATTATTTTTCAATTTTGCTAAAATAAGAGAACAACATTATAAACAGATATATTTTTTAAATCCTTGTAATGTTGAACCAGGAACAGTATCAAGTCTGTTACAAAGACATTACTTATGTGAGTCTGCTAAAAAGAAGTTCCAAAAAATACTGTTCAGTGCCAAAATTCCTCAAATGCATCTCAAATGAGTCCTTGAACAAAAAACAAAAAAGCTATGACAAATAGTTTCCAATGGCTGAATGCATCTTACTTGCTATATTATAAACAATGTAAGCAACTTCTTGAAAAATCAGATTCATTTTATAGCTGAGTATTTCAATAAAGATTCTCAATCTCTGTTCTATCAAAGCAATTGTTTTTCCATATTTGTTTTATTAAAAAATGTAGTATTTAAAAAACACAAAACTACAAATATCCATTTTTACCTTTTTCTAGGTTCATGAGCATGATTTTCTTGTAAAAGTAAAATAGTAACTGCCAGCTTGTATAGCTATTTTTACTCTGGCTCACATTTGGAACTAGAAGTATTTCTATGCATTTTAGACAACTGGTTCATTTTCTTTATCGGAGTGAGTTTTACCCTGGAGGAATGAGCTAGCAGAGAGAAGGAACTGATCTTGAGATTTAGAATCTTCTTTACTACTCTTTACTTTCTGCTCATTTGCAAACAGAAGTTTTAGGAAACCTAACACATATACGACATGTGCAGTGCCTTAAAAAAGAACCTCAGGAAATCACTGTAATTTGGTTTCTGTTTTCCTCTACAAGCTTGCAGAGGAAAACTATGCTTCTCTACTATTGCAGTTGGAGCATTTTGCAAACATTATATTCATCAGAGAGGAATTTGGCATTTTGTGCTACAGAAAACAATCTCATCTTCCAGGATACTAGTCTAACACATGACAAACTTTTAGTTGCAGGAAGAATCTAGCAGTTCACATAAAATAGAGCTAGTGCACAGAACTTAAAAAAAAAAAAAAGAAATTTCTGAAGTTACCATTTACCACAGTGATAAATTGTAGAGAAATGATAGAGTATCAGAAATCTAAAATAAAAAGGAATATGGACTTTCTGACTTGGGTGCTTAGTTTATGTAATAAAAATATGTTCATGAACAAAATAATCATATGTCCCAGTTTTCTACCCTCCAAAACAGATCCGGACTAAAGGAATCCCTTTGTCCCTTCTCCCTGTCACCATACTTCCAAAATGATCTGTTTCCTCTAGTGACCTACCCAGCTGTCGCGTATTTTCCCCTCTTCCAGACCATCTGCTTTTTATGGTGAAGAAATAATTATATTTCACCTCTCTCTGAACAGATCAGTGCCCCAAACCAATCCGCACTTCACCTGCCTCTGTGGGCTGCCAGCCCTAGCCACAGCATCCCGCTTTGTGGAGCATGTCCATGAATTTTACCTGCCCCGGGACCCCTGGCATACCGACAGCTCAGGCTCTGCCATTACCCGCACAGCATTTACCCCTGCTCGGACAGTCAAGTCCTATCCTCTGGTACAGATTAAGGTGGCCATGAATCATCTCAGTGATGGGAGTGCTACTGCAAGACCAGACCCCCATCACGCTTAGAGCGCTACGAACCCCCAAAAGAAAGGAAGGTCATTTCCCCAAGCAGCTTCACACCTCATTCACTGTACAGGAGAAAAAAAGGCAAAATTCACTAGGTGCCATAGTCCCTGATGAGGCCAAGAGCTTGTCCTTCCTCAGAGGAAGACACAAGAACCGGCAAAGCCCAATCATATCACACACGGTGCTTTCTGCTAGCAATCAGAAAAGGCATAAGGCTACACCAGCCTAGGGATGGCTGCCTGAGAAACACAGCGGCAGCAACAGAGGAGCCTCCGTTCATTTCTCCGGACATTCTGAGTGAAACATCACGTACTTATATTTGAATTAAGTATGTTTAAAATTTTAACTCCTCATTTCAGCTTTTCCTTCTTCCCAAGTATTCTTGGAGGAGAGCGAATTTGGCTTCCACCTAGAGGCGCCATCCCACTTTGTCCATGCTAGAACCTGCAGCTTAGCTGCAGGGTGGCGAGAGAGCCTCTAGGCCCGGGGGCTACGCTGCCACCCGCACGACTGCTGCCCTTTGGGTCAATGCTGTGTCGATGGCACGGCTCGCCCGGCTCACATCATTCTTCTGACACCTCCAACGAGCACAGGACACGGGGCAACAGGCCTGTGACAGCGAATTGATGTCGCTTCTGCAGGCCCAGGACCCATAGGGAGCCCACGCGGCAGCGGCCCTTGCTGCAGTGTAGCCCTCAGAAGAGAGGGTGCCTGGAAGAGCCCATGCTCAGCAATGTCGTTTTGGATGGCCATTCCTCTGAAACCAGGACTGGACGTCTCTCCGGCACTAGGGCCTGGGCTACCCGGGCCACAGGTGCCGCAGTGGCTACATTGCTCCTCCTAAACTGAAGACATTTATCTCTTGAAAAAACACCGGCGATTGCCAAGAACTGCACTTTGCAAAGGGGAGATAAAGAAAAGCTGAGCGCTCTTTTCCATTTTTAGAGCTGCTTTGTGCCCTGTGTAGCTACAGAGCTGACACTGCATTACCCTTTGCAATGACCACTTGCAAGCAGCAAAAACACTCCTGCATTTTCGGAGTAAATCCCAGCATTCCCCCCTTGCGTACGCCCGTAGAATCTGTAATCCTCCTTCAAAATCCCGAAACACAATTAGAAACCTTTCCTGGCTAAAAATCTTCTTTACATAAGCTCCTAAACTTTTAATTGTGCTTTGCTGATACGGTTTAAAGATGTATGGAAATTCTGCCAGATGTCCATGGCTGGTGGATCAGCTGAGGAACAATTCAATCTCAGGGATTTGCGCCCGGCTAATTACTCTCCTCCCTTGTGTGTACCTACTGATACAATTACATACTTAACTACACAAGACTAGACCTTATATGCTGCTGAACAGAGCAGTGCAAAAGCTCTGAAATAAGATTTCATCTTCCACTTTTTCTTTGTACAGCCCTATTTCAGTAGCAATGAGCCCGCAGATGAGCTGGAAACTAATTCTTTTCTAAAGCACTGATATTGTTCTATTGCCCAGTAAGTAGAAAATGAAGAAGATTTTATATATATAACACGATACAAGAGGACCAGGTGGGATTTTTGTTCTTTCTTCCAGTTATTGTTCTGGGAAGCTTTAGGTGAGTAGGAAAACAGAATGCAAATTTTTAACAGGAGACAAAATTAGGATGCACTGTGCTATAAGCAGAAGAGTCATCTTTTAGTGCATTTTCAATCCGGTATTAACATTTCAATAAATGCTTCCAGAAGCAATAAATAGAATGCTGCTTTCCTCAAGGTAAGTTTTGGTTGAAAATACATTTTTCTAGAAGATGCTGAATTCCCTCTCCAGACCATTTTTTTAATCCACACTGAAAAGCTGCAGGCACTTTCTTGCAAATAAACCATCAGCAAAGTAATTTTCTTTAAGAAAAAAAAAATAAAAGAAGTACTGTAAGCCCTCATATACTTTATACATTATTTAAATACATCTTTAAAAAGAGAAACATTTCATTATAATTGGTGGAGACAACAATTTTGTAGAAAATATGCAGAAATCATCTGCTATTTCATTTGTGCTATGTGATACTACTACTAACAGTAATTGACACTTAATGTCAACATAATGATTATTTAAATATGTTTAAAAATACTCAACTTAATACATTTCAGTGAAATGTAAATGACAAAACAGAACAACTACAGCTCCAGGACTAATGTGTCCTGGATTTTGACCACTAGCTTTGCTATTTCAGTTTTCTGACCTAAATCTCCCTCCCCTACCAGAAGCAAAGGAAAAAAAAAAAAAAAAGAACCCAAACAAGAAATGTCTTACTTGTTCTGTCTTCTCCGGTTGTTTTCTATCAGCCTGCAAAAATTGACAGTTTTCTCTTGCCAGCTTCTGGACTAGCTCAATGCGTCCGATGTCATCTCTTTCCTGAAGCTTGCACAAAACTCCTGCCTTTAGGGTGGGAGAAAGAGCAAATAGATACTTAAATCCACAATCCCAGGACATGACACCACCACAAGTTTCAACCTTAAAAGAAACGCATCTGTTTCATCATATTTGCTGTAATTCTCTGCTGCTTGCTGACCACAAATAAATTGCTGCTTCCCCTGAAACAGCTCAAGAAGAGCTGAGGCACATTTGAATCTCCAAATGTATCTACTTTGGAAGAGAGAAGGCAGGGCTAACTAAATCAACTGCTACTGTGTGACTGACTGATACGCCTGTATTCTGTTTGTTCCTGTCAACCTATTTCCTGTTACATAAGAGAACAAGACCAAGAGGTTAAAAACTCATGGGAAAGTTAGCCAGGAACAGCCCTGGAAAAGAGAATGAAGTGCAACACAGTCACTCCTAAAAATAACACACCAAAACTCCCATTGCTCCAACGCCAACACTTTTTCACGTATGCCAGCAGTAAGAGGTAAAAGAAAGTTTTGTCATGTTTATGTATTCTACAAATAAGAAGTGAACATCGTCCAATTCTATTTAGGAAAGAAAATGAGAATTGCTTTAAAACTGTTTTTTAAATATTTTTTAAAATGTTAGTGATGTTAGTGAGCTATTGAGAGCTAACAGGTCTAAAATATGTTTGAACATTTTTTATGACTAATATACTGCTGTTTTCAGTGTTTTGTTGTAACCTTTAACTCTGGTGTCTTACAAAATTTACATGTATGTAAAGACACATTCACGCTTGCACAGAGACATATCAGGTCCATCCCTCAGCATGTTAGCTAACAAGGGCTAAATTCCTCACTGCAAAATCCATGGATAATAACACTGTCCACAACTTTATCATGGATACAGCCTTTGCATAACCGAGACCTTGCTTGACAGGGCCTTTATTAGCCCAGGTGTTTCCTGATGGGAATGGCATCTGTCCTGGGAGGGCCAGGGATGTGGTATGGCTCTCTTATTGCCAAATTACTTGAAGGGCAATCTGCAAATGAACCTTCTTCCTCAATTCCTCCACCCTTTTCTTTCTTCCTGCTCATCCTGAGTTTTACTCAATTAGTAAAATCCCTCAAAACGGGTAAAAATTTAGGTAAAAACCCTAAAATCCATAAATCCTCTTGGGAGCCAGGACCAAAAAGCAGGGGTATCCTGAACATGAACCCCTCAAGTCAAGCAGGTTCTTGCACCAGCTTCAATTCCCTTCGGCTTTCAGCATCTCCTTCTACAACAGCTACAGGTTGCAGGGTGCCCATCCAGGTTATCCTACAGTCTGGTATTTTCTCCAAGAAAGTGGGAAGCTTCCCATTTCCTGCGCCTAGTTATCAACCTTCTCAGCTTTTCCGTATGCTGTATAAGAAACATAAACACTGGTTTAAAGGTTAGAAATCCATGATGAAATAAGGAATAGAAGCACCTAATTTGAAGATCCTTACATTTTCTATAAGATCAGTATTTTCCATCTCTAGGGTACAAATTTGTAAACCACAGTACCAGCATGCTGTATCACCTGCAGACAAATCTTACTAAATTTAGTTGGCAAGAACCTCTCAAAATCAAAAGTGAAAAGAGGTACTAAGTGAAAAAAATATATTTAACTTTACAACAGACATTAAAAAATGGCCAAATAAATTGTTTCCTGGAACTCGTATTTTTCTCCGGTAATTTACATAGGGAGTCTAGGAACTATCACGGACTCGGCTGTGGACAGATGTTTGCAATACTTGGATTGCTTGGGGACATCCGCAAGAGCCAAGTCTGCCTATTCCACGGCTCAGCGGTGCTGCTAGCAGAGCGCACAGCATCTGTGCTCTGTGATCCCCACGGGCTCCTCGGCTAAGGATATTCGAATTGCTGCGACCTGTTAGGTCTTGGGGACCATAATGATTTAGACCCCAAATCTTGTGAGGTTCTGCCTACTTTGGAAGCCCTTTTCACCTGCGTTGAACCTACTTCAGCAGAACCGAGTGAGAACAACTTCCTGGAAAAGATGTTTTTTCAAAAACACAACCTCACCATTACACTTTGCATTAGGAGGGAATGTATTATGGTTTTCTACATGGCTAAGCTCCCCAGGGAACAAAGAGCTCTAGACACAATCCCATTATCCCTGACACAAAAACTGTCTTCATTCAAATCAGCACTTATATTAGAGAATCTCATTGCCCTGTTTCAAACAATCACCAAGAAGAAATCTTGCTTTTTAAAACCCCCATTTCCCCAATCTTTTGCAGGGAACATTAAAAAAAAAAAAAAGAAGTATTTTTGGGGCTTCTGGAAGATAGAAGGTCAACTAAAAACCTCCTGGGAAAGCTGGGCTATTATCAAGTTAAATGTACAGGCTTTTTAAAACTTGGCTCTGTGAATAAATAATGCACTTAAAATATTAAAGGCTAAATACCCTTTTTCAAAATTAAAACAAAAATATGAATTCTTCACATGTAATTCTGATTTCATCATTTATGCTGGCTTTCACATTTTACATCTTTCTGCCAAGTAATGTAAGAAACCATCCAGTTCAGCTAATTAATTAACTGCTGACAGCCCCTAAAAGCTGTTTGAGAAGATGTTGTTGGAGTTTCGTATCACTGGTCATTTTCACTTGTCAGTATAAATTGAACTCTCAAGCAATGCCTTTAAAGCTCTTAAGAGAACAGGGAAAAACAAGCCTCCCTACTTGCAAGAGGCAATTGCGTTTATATGTTGCACTGGCACATATGGTCCAAAATCCTGCACATCCAAATGTTAGCGCCTACTGCTGCAACTCATGAATGCAGACAGATATGCAAGTACTAACTTATCTGAAGGCTAAAATTATAAAGCTGCATAATTTATCTGGTTTTAATTTAATGAATGGTTAAAGAATGTAGAAGTTTTATAGCAAGACTTTACTGCCATTCACAGAACAAAATTACAAAATTACAAAATTACATTAAAGATGTTTATGCAATATTCAAAACAGCATAAAAAGGATTAATGGGAAGAAAAGTAAATTAATTGATTTGTAAAAGCAAGAATGCTGACAACACAATTTCCGTTTCTGAACATCCATTTCTTAAATTCCCTCTGAAAAGGCCGTAACACTGATAAATTAATATGCTGGAAGTAACATGGAAGCGAAATAAGAGATGCCTAGGCAGACAGGACAGCATCTTATTTACGGTATGCTCCCTTTTAAACAGCTTTGCACTGATTCTTCTCTAGACTTCCACCTGTTTTGCCACGTAACATCACTATAAGTTAATACTCCGTCCAGCATTCAGAGCAGGCTCCAAACCCTCTCCATCTGCTAATAGGACAGCTCCCTTTTTTTTACTGAACTTCTGCCTCCTTCTGTTTCTGCTGAAAACAATATAATTATTACAGGTTTCACCTTTGATCAACCAGAAGACTAAAAACCATATGTCACTGTCTAGAAAAATAATTTGCTTTACTCCAGTCACACGCACAGTCTCACTAAAGAAAAAAAAAATCATTGACACACTTACTGCAAATTGTGTTCAGTGTTTGTAGGATGTCATCTTTACAGGACTGACAAACAAATTAGAGCAGCAGCCACTTTGATAATGCTTCTGCCCTCCTCGCAGTTGTACATTTGAACACTTGTTCACTGCCCATTTAATGACTGTTTAATTTTAAATAGGTTTCACATTCTTCCAAGTTTTAGATGATGGTTTGCAGCCAAATAAAAGATGAGTGAATTAATATCCTGATGATAAAGTCTTACTTTTTATCTCTAATCTGCCTATATAATCTTCTTAGCTGATTGCTTATTAGTTTGAAGCACATGTATTATTGCCTTTATTTTTAGATTTTAATATAACTGTGAACAAACATTCTTAAAAAAATAATAACAGCTACGATAATCATGTAGAAGCAAGCAGATACTGAATGCAAAGAAGAAAACAGATTTTTTTTTTTTTTGTAGTGACGTCAGGATTTCCCCTTGGGTCTGGAATGGACACTTAAGAGGATTGAATCTCTTCTCCACTGCAGTGAATCAGGAATTAAAACTAGATAACAACATTTTAATATATTAGGACTCCTTCTACACTTTGTTTTTCTTTTTTTAAAAAGATTTGTAACTACTTGGAATAATAATAATAATAATAATAAAAGAAAAAAGTAGAATAACAAGCCATTTCCAAACACCTTACTCAAGCATTACCGTGAAGGGAATGCTAGAAATACCGATTTACATCCATATGTTACCTCAAGTCTTCTCCCAGCACTCTCGGAGCTCCCTTGATTCCAGGTCTGCTAACAAAGCTGCCTACGGCTCCTGGTCAAGTCAGTCTACCCACAGAAATACACATGTACCTTGGCAGTATGGATTTGCTTGTACCCATTAGAACAGGCACATTCATATACACCAACGGAAATCCTGTTTTTCTCACATAATGCATTTTAGCTGTCAAGGTGTTAGAAGAGGAATCAGAGATAGGAACGCTAAGTTGTATGCATACAGAGAAGTAAAAAACAAAGACTGGGAGAAACTGATTTTTCAAAATGGCAATCAGCACCAATAAAATGAGCCATACATCTATATCTGCAGAGTTTTGGCACATAAATGAGTTGAAGATTAATCCAAAAAGATTCACAGAATCAAAATGGTAAGAAAATCCACAGTAAAATACTCAAGAAAGCTACATTTCTGCTCAGCTATATCTAAAAGCATGCTTTGGTTGCAAATGGGGGCAGACAGGAAAGGAAAGAAAAAAGTTGTTTGCACTCAAGTGACTGATAAGTATCCTCATTTCATAGCATGCCTACGTACAGTGATTAAGATTAAATCCAAATGTCACATGTCCTTGCCTCCTAAAACATATCACATCTGGTGTATGCTATGTGTACTATCTAGAAAGAACAGAGGTAGTTTAAGAATGCTGTCCAATTTCAGCATCATGGGCTTAATTCCCAGAATGATCATCAATTTAATTATGAATAGCCACAGAGGACGAGATCCAGTAGACTTTCTGCTTCCTATAAGCTCCCTACTGAGGACATTGAAGAAAATCCATTTCCCAATGCTGAAGAGCCATCGAGAGTAAAACCTTCAACTTGCAGACCTGAAAAAGTCTCTGATATGCTATTAATCTTAGACACTTACCTGAGTATCAGACGTATCCTTGAGCTCTTCTAGCCCTCCTATTTCTTGACTGCTGTTTTCTTCATTTTGATGAATTGCTTAAAGAAAGTGAGAACGTATTGTAAATAGGCAGCTTCAAATCACAAGAAAATGTAATGCAGGATGGCCCAGCCTAGATCAAGCAGGATTCCCATACAGGAAACATGGTTCCAGTTTTAACTTTTTAACTAACTCATTAAGTGTTTTCAGATAAAATCCTGTATATGTCATTTTCCCAGGCAGTAAAATGTTTGTAAAAATGTAAATAGTAGTAAATAAATGTACTAAATAGTTGTATTCCTACCACTAATTTATTCCTGATAAAATAGTAGAATTTAAGGAAATTCCAATCTTTTCCACTATAACAAGCCCTGACTTGATCACTCATACAGAAGGAAAGAGCAGAAATACCTCTACTTTCAGCATAAAATGCTGAAGGTCAGTTTGAACTAAGCAAAATAAGCAGATTTATCCCACACCTCAGCCTTGGAAAGTTGTGTGTAAGCAAAGCGATCTCAGTCTTAACAAAGAGCATCATTTTCCATAAAAATCATCTCCAGAAATAAATGCTGGCAGAATACAAGCTCTTGAAGGTTACTTTGTACTGGTACAATAAGACAGACCAGTCACTTACTCAATTAACCCTGTTTAACACTAATTTTGGAGATTTGGCTCGAACACATTATCTCTGGAAGGGTCTACACCAGCATTATGAAATTACCTAACTAAAAGAAAAGGCCACTTCTGGAGGAAGCCATCAGACTTCAGAAGAGCCACACGGATTTCCCCCTCCTTTTGGCAATGCCTGCCTGCTGCATTTTAAGGGGGGCAGTAAGTCCTCAGGCCCCCCAAAACATGACACAGGAGAGGATGGGTATGCCAGACCTGATGAAAAGCCTGAGAAGCAACTTTCCTTACAACTATTCAAACCTTATTGGTCTTGTTACAGAATTATTTCAAATCATTAAATGATTTGAAGTGCAACTTGATCATCCACTTCCTGGCCACTGCAACATTTGAAGCTTAGGAGCCTGAGAAAAAGGATTTCGCTCGTGTTCACCTCCTCTTTCGTTCACCCCAGCATCCTCAGCAGGTCCTCAATCTGCATGCAAACTGTGCTTCAAGACAAATATCACCTGCCTTGCCTTCAAGCTGGGCAGCCCAGGATTTGACTATTGTACGGGTCAGGTTTCCATGTAGCAGGAGAAGGGCTGACCCATCCTCACCAATGTTCTCCTCCGCCCTCAGCCTGATGCTCCACCTGTACACCCAGATTACTGTTGCCATGCTGTAGGTATCACTTGGGCCATGAGATCTGGCTTTGGGTATCTGCACATGTGCTCTGAGCCCATTGCAGACGTGACATAAAGTCAGCCTAAACTTCAGGCACTATCCAGCAAACTTTTAAGGAATGTTACTGTAAACTTTGCTTGAGCCCTTAAGTAATGCACAGAGATTTACTTGCTGCAGCATTTCTGCTGATATTGCTATGCCCTACAGAGAATAATTCTTCTTCCTGCCTCACCCTTGAAGGATGCAGCTATGCTATGAGAAAAAACAAAAACTACAAATGTAATTATAAAAATTTTTGAAAAGTCAATTTGTCAGTGCAGTTTTGTGAATGCGGTGTTGTGAATGCAGTCCCTGCATTCAGGGAACTTCTTAAATCCTTTATCATATGAGAACAGAGGTTTTGCATAAATCTTCACTATTGGGTTTGCTGGCCTCACTTTCCCAGACAGCCTCTGAAGCTCAAGGTGATGCTGAAAACACAAAGTCAATGTATAGTTACAACAGCAAGGGTTTATAATAAGGGTTAAATCAAAGCAGCATTTAGAGCTAGCGGCAAACCAAACACAACAGTGACATGAGAAAGTATAGCAACCCGTCTCCAATCTAGCTAGCAAAAATACAGATTCGACAAAGCAGCAACTAGAGTCAAAACCTTTAAAGTTGCGTGTGGCCCCAAGTGCACTGCTGATCCAAGGCTGGGCTTTCCTTGGACAACCCCTCTCCCCCACCAAATCCAGCTCCAGAGACAGATGTGAAACAGCAGTGCTGCAATACCAGCAGGCAATAATGAATCCCATCTATCAGCTGTCTGAGCCACCAAAAAATGCTTGGGTTCGTGGCTGCGTTAAAGAGGCAGCAGAAGTGCAACATTTCTCCATCTCTCCATTTCCCCATTTCTCCTATAATCAATTTGCTCTTGCCATGGACGTCCAAAGCATCCCCTCAAATGCCAGCTATTAATCACGCTGCTTGGAGGCAGCACTCAGCAAGCGCAGGAGCAGGACCACAGGACCAGGCTCAAGTGCTTTACAAGGAGCCCACCAGCCTGTGCTAGGAGCCCTGGCAGGCAGGCACTTTGCAAAAAGCCATGCTGATGACCATTCCCAGCAACTCGGCATGGCCCCTGCTCCAGGGGGGCACTTTTCCAGCCCTGAACTCGCATCTGCAGCCGGAGGGGCGGCTGTGAGTTGGGGACCTTGGAGAAATGCTAGCGATGAGCAACAACCACCCAGGGAAGAAACATCTTTCACCCAGCACAAGGGAAAAGGGAAGCTGTCCACAGCCTCCCATGGTAGCAGGCAGCTCGGGTTTTGGAAAATGCTGGCAGGAGCAGTTTTAAAACTGAGGAGGAAACCACTCTAGTTCAGACTGAGCCTAAATGAATGTCTCAAGAAAAAGAAATTAAGAAGCTGCTTTTATTAGCAATTTAACAGCTCAACACTAAAAAAAAAGCCCCCAAAGTTCATAATCCAAACCCAGCTGTACTTGGCTTCAGTGTTGTTTAGACTGCACAAGGAATGCAGAAAAGAACCAGTAAATATTTTCTTAAAGGAAAAAGAAACAGAAAAGAAAATCCCAGACCTCACACTGATGTCCTCCCAGACCCCTTGGGGGAGAGAGAGCAGAGCCAGCTTTCTTTTCACGAAATTTCCATCACAAGCACCTTCATTTCTACATCCTCTCTGTCTGTCTGTTCTCCAAACACAGAAGAACCAGCCACAACTTGAACCCTTTAACAACACCCGGGGAGCAATTCATAAGGAACCACACCATCAAATACATTTTTTTCATCGCAAGAATATATCCCCTTGAAGACTGAGGTGACCACATGAAGGAATAAAAGCCCTTAATTATATTTTCATGGTTTCTATATAAAACTAGTGAATATTTTGTCTATAAAAATAAAGAAACAATATTTTTTAGTATTCCTACGTAGTCCTGAAAATTATGTATATATACATTCTCACACATACCCTTAGGAAACAAACTACAGTTTGTATCCTGTATCACAGTGTGATTCCTAACCAAGGAACAACTTGCAAATATCTCCTTGAATTCTCACACTGGAAACTATTGTATGGCTGTGGCCTAGGTGCTGCCCTAGCAGCGTACTAAGCATACTTCTGTGCACGCATACTAAGTTCAGTCATAAAATATATGAACGCAGGGTTAATCTCCTGCTTATTGTCAGTTGGCTATTTATTTTTTAATAAAAAGGCTTGATGTTGCAAATTCAACTGTAAGAAAACTAAACGGAAGTTCAGGATGGGATGGGAAAGCATTTCCCAGGCAAGCGTTGATTCTGGGACAGTTCCCTAGAATTGTAAAATGTACATAGAAAAACTTGTGAATTTTGGAGCTTGACCAAATACTTCATTTTCTGCCAGCAGAAACCCTGCTTTTCTCTTTGGGATAGAAATATTTCAGGATTTCTTACAAAGCCGCAACAGTAGTGAAAGGCAAAGCTGATTTACCCTGACCTACACAAATCTATTCAATGCTATGTTGGAGCCAGCATTGAGACCAAAGACAAAAATAAATATAAGTAAATTGCTTTTTTCTTTTTTTTACTGCAGCATTTATTTTCCTTTGACCTACAAAAAAGGTCACTATGAATGAAAGAAAGTGAAGACATAAAAAGCACATTAGCTTGCTAAAGAGCAACTCAAATGTGTCCATTTGCAAATTAGCTTGGGGAATTCAAGATGTTGATTTTTAATGGTCACTTAAGGATCATAAGGGCTATCATCTGATCTAATTTCCTCGCTCCCCTGTGGACCAGAGAGGGGATTTGCTGGAAGATTTTTCTAAAAAACTAATCTTGGAGTAGAGAAACCTTCTAGGAGGGAGACTGAGTATTTATATGCAAAGGGATTATCACTTTTTACAAGTAAAGTTTGTTTAATTTCTTTTGATCTTTCAGGGAGAAGTAACTCATTTTAACCCTAATGGAATATGCACAATTCTATAATAAATAAATGTGTATAATAAGTGTACAATATGTACAATAAATGTGACTGTAACTGAGGTTGATCCAGCGTTTCCCTTATAACCTCTTCTCTGCCTGGTTCCTCCAGTCAAGGGCAGAATCACTGCAGAGTCACAATTTAGGAATCAAGATATCATCAGTCTTTCTCAAGAAAGCGTTTTCTGTTTAGGGTTAAGATTTTTTTCCCGATGTATGCGACCAAATTTGGGGCAGGGACAGAAGAAAGCTCATTAAGCCAGCAGAGAAATAACGAAGTCACCTCCTTCTGCTTGCAGAGAACCCTGCCAAGCTAGGATGAGGCGCTTCAGGATTACTCACATGCCTCTGTGATACACGAGTCTGTGCATTCCCAAATGTGAAGATGAATTAATTATGTCTGAGGAAAAAACTTACCCTCGAAATGCAATGCATGTTGTTTTATTTTTAATACATTTTTTTTCTGTTCAAAATGGCAGAATCTCCTACGTAAGTGCCAGTGGAAGGGAGCTGGTAAGAGGCACCCATAAAGCGGCCCATGGAAGCGGCGGCCCGGCCGCCTTCCCAGCGGCTCTGCCTCATTGTGCGGCTGCCCCGGCTCTTCCTTCCACACAAGCGCGGTTTCTCCTTCCTCCCTTCTGGCCGCAGAGATAACCTTCCCGCCACAAACCCCGGCGCTCGGCAGCCGGCCCCACCAGAACAATAACTCCCGCAGAGGTGTGAACTTCCTCCCTTTGGCTTAATAGGGTGTGAGCTTTGAAAGCTCATTATTTAAATGGCGAAGGGAGGACTGCTGTCTCC